GCCATCTCCCGCTGTTTCCCAGTGCTCCCTCCCAAGCGTGTCAGGGTTTTTTTTTTAATTGTTGGTTTTTTTGTTTTTCTTTAACTTGCCTTTTTTTTTTAATGCCTTTTTGGGGGGTTAATAATATCCAGCTGCTTCAAAGGCAGGCAGTGACAGTCATCTGTCTGCGAGCAGAGGGTGGATGCGGAGGCCGGGGAGGCTGCGGGGGCCGGCGGGCGGGCGCGGAAAGTGCTACAGACACCATCAGCTGCTTTTTTTTCCCCTCTCCCCTTTCCCCATCCACTCCTCCCCCTCGCACACCCACCACCATCACCACGGAGGTAAGAAGAGGAAGCTGCAGGTTCTGGGCTGCAGGACAAAACCCCAGTCAAATAAATCCAGTTCCCTGTCGCGTTTTGAGTTGCCGAACTGGGAAGGATGGGGCGGGAAGGCGAGCGCAGGGGCAGAGCGGAGCCTGAATGGGGTTCTCAGTAAGCAGAAGAAAATCCTGGAGGATATTTGTGTTTTGGTTTGGAGCTGTCGCATTGAGATCGCCAGTGTTTTGTAGGTGCCTCTTTACTGCTTTGCATTTTAAACAGTTTAATGTATTTCCCGAGTAGAAAAATGCACAGTCCTGGAGGCGCTTAGGGGGCGGGGCGGGAGCGCAGCTGAGCCGAGCCAGGCGCGTTTCTCGGCGTTTCATCATAAGGCTTTTCATGGATTTGTTTTTCTCCCCCTTTTTGGTCTCCGTCTCAGCGTCAGCTGTTGTGAACCCAGCAGAACGATTTCCTTCGCGTTACCTTAACCGAGCTGAAGGGAGACGCTGACTCGATTTTTTGGACTTTAAGCATTTTTCTTTTTTTAATTTTTTTTTAAATGTCTGATGCAACGGAGCTCTCTCTCGGCAGAGGAATGGGGCTGTGGTTGACTGGCCGTGGGTAGTGAGTGGGGGTCCGGCCGCGGGAAGGGCAGCAGCGCGCACTCCTCGGAGGTGAGAGCTGGTGTGTGTGCAGGAGGTCTGCGTGCATGAAGTGGCCGAATGTGCGGAGTTGCTGTCCTTGCAACCTCGTTGTTGTAGGAAAAAGGGGGGAAAACTTCCCGTGCTTTCTTGGCAAATCAGGAGGCTTTGTTGGTGGCGCCGGGGTGGTTTTAATGCATTTTTGTGCGTGAGGTTATTACATAAGGTTGATAATTTCTGTTGCTGCTGGATTTCCCCTCCTCCCCCTCCCCCCTTGTGTTGTGTGCGGATTTCGCTGGCTCGCTTTGAGTGAATGAACTGGCGATTTGCGAAGTTGCAAAGAGCCCCTCCGCCCCCTTTTTTTTTTTTTTTTTTTTGCATCTTTCTCCTCTCCCCTTTGCACTGTTCCGCAGTGACAAAAGGAGTAAACTTCCTCTACTTTTGCTGGCATATTAAGAAGCCTTTCTGGAGAGATTACGGTATCAAAGCCATGCATCTGTCTGCAGTTACTGTGCTGTTTTGAGCGTTTGAAGCGGTGTGGGGAGAGCAGGCGAGGGCTATGTTCACAGGCGGTGCATCCCCGCCGGACTGTGCAGCCTGGGTCTGTGTCCCCACGGAGCGGCGGGGCAGGCTCTGCACGGGGGAGCACTACCTGAGCGCTTTGATTTCAGTATCTTGAGTCGGGAGGAGAAAGGTGTGTGAGATGTTTTTTTTTTCCCCTCAACTTTCTAAAGGCTCCTTCTTGCTTGCTATTTATGATGGGATTATTAATTTTTTTTTCCTTCCGTTAAGAGGAAGGGACTCACGTTCGTGTCTGCTTGTTCGTATTTTTAATTGTGATTTTGTTGTTTTGTTCTTTTTTTTTTTTTTTTTTTTTTTTTTTTTTTAGTTTCAGGTCGTGGGAGAACCTCTCTTCTTCCCCTTGGTGGAAATATCGATAAAACCTGTGTTTGAAACTATTGCTTGACACAGGGATCAGCAAAAAGACACCCGCAATGCCAGGAATGGTCAGTAAAAACCCAGACCTCGAGTTTGACTCTTTGCAGCCTTGTTTCTACCCGGACGAAGATGACTTTTATTTGTGCGGGCCGGACTCCGCTCCCCCGGGCGAGGACATCTGGAAAAAGTTTGAGCTGCTGCCCACCCCTCCTCTGTCTCCCAGCCGGGCCGGGCTGCAG